AGACAATTAATTACAGAGTAAAATTGTACCCTAATTACCACGTAATTATATGGTAATAAGGTAGTGATTACATTTAATTACACTTTTATTACCTTGTAATTACATGGTAATAAGGGTACCGTAAAAGAAAGTGTTACCAACTGACTTTAGTAAAGTCTGTTTTGATATTTTAATCTCCAACTTAGGTATAAAGTTAGCCAGAATACCTCTGCAGGTCCCCAAATGTTGTTGTGGTCATCGCCCCACAGCACCTCTGCTCTCCTTCCTCAGTTAAACGGACCTGCTTTTGGCCCTGAAGGCACCACAGTGATGTATTCTTCTTCCAAGATGGCCGCCGGGCGTTACCAGAGGGCGGTGCAGCGGTTCAGCARCTCTCTGCAGGGTGGAGGTCTGGGAACATGGGTCAGAAAACCACCAAGGTTCAGCCACTTCAGTGTCAGTGTGTGAAAAACTGAGTCAGAGGCTGAAAACAACAAAGAAGAAAGGATTTAACTTGAAACTGTTTTTATTTTAAGTCAAATTTGGACCTTGTGTTCATCTGCTGCTGAGGCTGAGGCAACATTAAACACTGTTAGGGAGAAAAAATGCCTCATTTTAGAGAATGTAACAGGTAATTTGAGTTTTACAGCTTTTTGTTAKCAAACTGCACGTCTCTGACAGACACTGCTGATGTGATTCTAGATAAAATGATGAGTCAAGGTTTGATTTAGCTGCTTCTGTGATCAGTGTTAGATAAAAAAAACAAGAATTACATTTTGGATAAATGAGCATAACGTTGTGATGTTTCCCAGAGTTTTAAAGCATCAAATCTTTGCAAAACTGTCTCTTCCTGATCCTCATAAACCAGACTTCAACCTCTGAACCTGAAACTTTCCTCAACTGAACCAGCGTTTGTCCCAAACTGGGAGAAATGCTTTAGTAATGTGATCCTGTGAGCAGATTTATTTATTTTTTGTTTCTTTAAAATAATTTGTGTTCATGAAGTAACTTAACCCTGTTTGTTTTTAACCCTTTAGTGAAGTGTTTTTAAGAATCTCAGGAAAGTGAGAGCYTGCTGCCATCTACAGGCAGAGTCCAGGAATTGTTTGTGTTTTTCCCTTCATGTCGTCTCTTTTAGACATTTAAATTAATCACAGAAATCCCTTAGTTTGTTCTGTACCACCTGGTGTTTGTTTATGAAAACCTTCACATTATTTTCTGTTGAAATCCTCTTTATAATTA